TTATTATTATTGTTATTATTATTGTTATTATTATTATTGTTATTATTATTATTGTTATTATTATTGTTGTTATTATTATTATTGTTATTATTATTATTATTATTATTATTTTTTATTTTACATTATATTTCAGTAAAATATATATTGAAAAATGAGCGAATCTGAATATGAATACGCTGTCGGAAAGCGGCTCACAAGGAAGAGATAAGTCGTAATTGATAAGCAGAAAAAGGATATATTTTATACTTGAATAAGTAAGTGTTATAGCTTACAATCCCATGTAAATGATAAATATCAATAAAACGATTGTTTTTTTTTGCTTTCACATTGTTATTTTCAATTCTCGATTGCATTCGAGTGTGAAAAATTATAGCAACATAAAGCACAACGCCGCTCGAGTTATCTCGAGTGTGCACAGTTTGGCCAGTTTAGCGCGCTCGAGTTAACTCGAGCGCGCACGTTAAGGGGTTAATTGTAAGAAATCCATGTTTTAGCATAAAATTTGAAAATTTTCAAATTACAATTTCACCCATTTGCTATACGAAATCGATGCTGTTTATTAAATTGTAATTGTTGGACACGTTCGAGCCACCATCAACGAATGGAAAGCGCACGAACTCTTGGCAGTGCCGAATAAAATTTAACTCTCGTTTTTCTGCGACTTGCGATTAGGTGAACGAAGGTATTAGTTAGTTAAAACGGGAAAGACCAGTTCAAATCGTTATTTGAGAACACCTCTACAACGATGAGAACGAGCTAACTGGTCATCAAGGCTCGTTAATTCACGTGTTTCAAACAATTTTCCAGAAGTTGTCTAGTTTTGCGCGCTGTTCTTGCGACAAATTCGCCGTTTCTTTCGACAATTTTTCTTTTTCAAAACGGCTTTCTCGCTTCTTCGTTAACAAAGCAACGACGCAGTTTATAAATCATCGTTATGCCGTCACTTTTATCGCCCACGTCATCATCAGATAATTTCTTCTTTGTCTGTATTTTTCTTTTTTTTTTTCTTTTTCGAGGATACAGATAAAGTTTCGCAATTTTCGCTTAAAGTTCGCTTGAAAACACTGACCAATGAGAGGCGAGCTCGTCCGATGATGCAAAGCGGCCGAGCCAATAAACGGTCGAGATAACAAATAACTCGTAAGCAAAAAGCCGCGGATTGCATTTTTGCTAAGGAAAAAGTTTCTGCAACAACATAATTTTTTAACAATTGTAACGTAATTTTATTTACCATCGGTGGACATGTATCTTGACGCGCGTAACGTAACCTAGCTTTATACATTACTCACTAAAAGTTAACAGCAACAACGTGTCGGAGACAATGAACATTTTCGCGCCATAAAAATGTTTTGACACAACTCGATTTTAACTTCACGCAGAACAGTTTATACAAGCTAACGAATCTCCGGTTATCCTGTTTTCGAACTTGATCGCGGCCTGTTCGTAAACGGTTTTTCGAAATACATATGTAAAACCGTGATTAACAAGTTGTAAACTTCTTTTGAAACAACGCGATCTAGTAATAGCAATACTTCAGAAATTTCACGCTTATTTTTCGTTCGTTTATGCGAAAGTAGTTGCATAATATTTATAATGTTCCCGAGATATTTCATGAGAAGGAAAATATTATAAATATTATAAATATTATAAAATATAAAATATTTTTCAAGGTTACTCACCCCTTAAATCTGGAAAGTGGCATCGTGACGAAATACTACCGTATTTCTATGCTAGTATTAAGCATATAACTTACGCCACGTCTGTGCAAAGTTTCGTCATTTCGATTTTCCATAACCTTGTCGAAGCATCCTTGCAAGCGAGAGACACCTCGCGTGCGTAGATTTCACTATAATCGAGATCGACTTGTGCCAATCGAACAAAATGACACTCGATGTGATATTCGATACATACTACGTTCTTTTATACGGAAAGAGAAGAACGATACCGGATGTTTTATTAGTATTTACGAGTTCGAGTTTCCTTTCGCGGTGTACAGCCGTCGACTGTGGAAACGAAACGCAACGAACAGTGAATTCGAACAGAATTGAGACAGTTTATACGACGACTCAGAGCGACGTCGAAGTCTCCCTGTGCACCTCATGTTTCTATCAATTTTTCTGTCCCAACGCTCGAAACGCGAGCGCTTCGATTCCCGGTCGACTTTACGATCGCTCGTATAACATCCGTATACAGGGTGTCCCGAAAATGGGAGGTTCCTGAGGTGATTTGAAGCAACTTTTTCCTTTGCGAAAATGTTCTCCGAGGCTTCGTTTATGAGTTATCAACGAAAAACACTGACCAATCGGAGAGCGGCGTTGGCCAGCGCGGCCAACGCCGCGTCGCGCCGGCCGTCTGACGCGGCGACGGTGGTCGCGAGGGCGGCGCGTCGGCCGCTCGCAATCTCTCATTGGTCACCGTTTTTCGTTAATAACTCGTAAACGAAGCCGCGGATCGCATTTTCGCTGAGGAGAAAGTTTCTTCGGATCACCTCAGGAATCCCCTGCTTTCGGATTGCGGGACATTTTTGGGACACGCTGTATAAATAACTAGATGTCTCTCTACTGTTTCAGATAGAGTGATATGTTAACCGAATACAATGATCCAACGAAGCCAGTAGGGGTTTTAGACAATGCTGGCAACGTGTCTTCGTCGACCGAGGCCTCGGCGCAGCATCCTCGAACCACAAGCAATGGTAAATCAATCAACCTCTCACATCTGTCGAGAATTCGTTTTGTTCTTTTTCGTTTTCTTTTTCTTTTTTTTTACCATTGTTGCGGTACAGTTTATTATTAAACCGTAAATGAAATTCTAATTAGCAAAATAACCGAACGAAATTGGCGAAATGATATCTGAAACGAGACAATTTCAATTTGATGGTTTGTGAAAGGTTTCTGCGTTTATTTTATGATTTTCTGAAACACACAGTCAATTATGTGCATTAACCCTCGGACAGCGGGCCAGACTCTCACAAATGTCGTTGTTTATGGCTATTCGCAGCTTTTTTCGTCGATTTTTTCGAGCACATTTTTTTCGGGATAATTTCTTGTAAATCTGTTAGTATTTCTATCGTTCTTAATGGGACAACAATTTTTTTGTCATTTAAGTGACTAAAACTGAGTATGTAATTAGGTGACGATTTAGAATGAATGACGATTTTCTAATGAAAATAAGAAATAACTACTTCAAATAAATCATTTTATTGTTATAATTATTTACTGGTAAATGAAGACCAATGAAGCAGATGCTGGGATGGAAGTTAACGAGAAATCGTTTTTTCATATTTTTTGCGAGATACATAAACGCACGATAAACATGAAATTTTCAATTAATGCCAACTCTGCTTGAACTAGAATTAAATAAATAAACACGAGCCGATAGACTGAAATGAAAATACCTATAATTTTTTAAATAAGTTTTTTTAATTTATTTATATATTGCACTGTCCACTACTTGGGCTAGAGCTATACAAACAAATAAACAATAGTTAATAAACAGAAACGAATGTACCTAAGTTTCTAAGTTTCTAATAAGTTCATTAATGTCATAAATAATATATATAATAATCATTATGTTGCATTCTCTCGAGAGAAAGAGAAAAGTCACGGTTAAAAAAAACGCGCGAACACGACGCTTTTTGATCATGGCAGAGACAGAGGTCAAAAACGAGGTGCAGGACTGCCCTGAGAATGACAGCGTGCCGCCCAGCGGAGAATTATACATCGATGAGAATGCAGAAGAAAAGGAGCAGGAGTATCCGGACTCCATGGAGAAGACGGACTACAGTACATTGTACGGACCGAATCAATATTATAACAGGTATCTTTCATCCTTCGAGATCGTTTTCACTGTTTTTTCTATCGACATCTAATTAATCGTTCAAAAGTCTTTCAACACGAATTTAAAAAATTCAACCGATTAATAACAATCGCATTAGAATAATGACTCCGAAGCGCCGTTAAAAGTTACCATTCCGCAATCCGAAACAGTTTTTCCAGAATCGAATCCATTATTGTTTAAAAATAATACATCAATCGTAACAAACGGGAGCTCGATAGAAATGATCTGCTTCTTGTAGTCCAGTTTGTACAAATCAAAAGATAAATCTAGCGATACAGCGAATTCTTCATCTCAATTGTTTCTCGGCTTGTGAATAAAAATGGACGGGAAGAGGAGATACCTTTTGATTGTTTACTATCTATTTATATATCTTTTTACTATATATTTATATATCTTTACTATCTACCAGTTCTATTTTTCTTTTCCTAATCTTTTCAATTGTTTTCGCGAGCCACCGACGGCCACTCATCGCCGGCGTAGACCGCGCGTCTACCGCGTGAACATTGCAATTCCGAGCTACGCCGGCGACACGACGCAGAGTCGCGGATGATTTGACGATGTTCACTCGACAGAGGGCCTGCGCATGCGCAGTCGTGCTGCGCGGTTGAATCGCGTGTTTACACTGCTCCTTGTTGATCCGAGAATATAATTGTACGTTTTAAGAGCGACATTCAAGCTGGCAAATTGAAATTAGTTGATTATTTGGATTATTGATATTATCTGTTACGGTTGACGCAAAAAAAACAAACATGTCGAACGAATATCAACACGCGAGAGACGTGTTAACAGAAATCGATCATTCTTCCGATATCAATTACGAGTTCGATAGAGATTATTATGTTTTCTTTTTTCCATTGGAGGAGAATAATTTTACAGCACATGTAAAAAAAAGCATGCACTTCGTGCATCTCCGCTTGCTGTATTTGTGTGTGTGTGTGTGTTTTCACTGGTAATATTTAATGTACGTGCTCGCGTCTACACTCTATTATTATTATTATTATTATTATTATTATTAATATTTCGCGTTTACGTTGACAGCTTGTATAATTCGCCACCTTATACAACGACCCGAAAGGATACCTCGGCCTTGCAAAGCTCTTATTTGTCCACGTATACCACGCCAAATTCCATAACTCAGTATTCGTCCTACGCCCCGTACAACAGCGGCACAACGAATTTCCCAAACGTAGCCCAGAATATATCGTCATCCTCTCAGGTATTCATAATTCGCTGTAATTTAAATCATCGACGCCTAGGGATGGGATCAAAAAATGTTAAAACTCGTAAAAAATGTTACAGGAATCACGCATATACGGTCACAAGATATTAGGGGCCTCGAATTTGTGTTGCGCCTCGGGCCCCGGTACACCTTAATCCGCCACTGTATCGAGGGAATACTGTACATAGTGTACTCGCGAAAGGTTCAAACCCACTCTCGGCCTAGTGCAGGGGTGTGCGTCAAACTCACAAAAGCTATAACTTAATATAATTTTTATTTTATTATATATAATTATAATATATATATATATTTTTATTTATATATATATATTTATTTATTTATATATATATATTTATTTATTTATATATATATTTATAATATATATTATAATATATAATATAATATATAATTATTATTTATAATTTAATATAATAATAAACAATGCTTAACTTTAGGTGGGCCGCAAAAAGAAAAAAAAATCAATGTTCATAGAAACAAATATTTTTATTTTGACTAGTACATTGTAATAAACACATATATAAAGTTAAATTATTGTTTACGGCGTGATACTTGACATCAAAAATGTTCATCTCGGGCCGCGAGTTTGACACCCCTGGCCTAGTGTAACACGGAATTCTCCCCAATCGTCCTTCAGCTTGTAAACAAAAGTGGACGACGATCTGGGGGGCAGAGGAGACACGATTACTCGAGCCTCGTGCCTCGTTTTTTAGAGTTGTGTTGACAATCGGTAACTATGGAAACGAGCCGCGAGGCTCGAACAATCGTATCTCTCCTCTTTCCGAGTCGCGTCCATTTTTGTTTACAAACTGAAGGACCATTGGGAAGAGTTTACTGTACCGTTTGCGTTCCACGAAATANATTTTGACTAGTACATTGTAATAAACACATATATAAAGTTAAATTATTGTTTACGGCGTGATACTTGACATCAAAAATGTTCATCTCGGGCCGCGAGTTTGACACCCCTGGCCTAGTGTAACACGGAATTCTCCCCAATCGTCCTTCAGCTTGTAAACAAAAGTGGACGACGATCTGGGGGGCAGAGGAGACACGATTACTCGAGCCTCGTGCCTCGTTTTTTAGAGTTGTGTTGACAATCGGTAACTATGGAAACGAGCCGCGAGGCTCGAACAATCGTATCTCTCCTCTTTCCGAGTCGCGTCCATTTTTGTTTACAAACTGAAGGACCATTGGGAAGAGTTTACTGTACCGTTTGCGTTCCACGAAATACTTGAAATACTAAATAGTAAAATGCTTGTAATCTACTTGATCCCATCTCTAATCAACAGTAATGTTAACTTGTTAAACGCAATGGTCGATACGCGTATGCAATACGCCGCTAGCCTGTGCGAATCTCATTTGTACAGTCCTCACGCGACAAGAGGACACCTTTGTGTTCAAACTCCCCCCCTCTTGCTAGCTATCGATCGTTATTGGCCGAAAACGGGGACGAAGATCAACGGCGATCGATAGCGACCGATAGCTGCGGCAGTGGGGCGGCTAGTAAGAGGGAGGGGAGGGGAACGTAAACACAAAGCTGCCTTCTCGTCGCGTGAAGACTATACGTATGTACACAGGGTGCCCCAAAAATGTCTCGCAATGCGGAAATAGTGGGTTCCTCGGATCATTTGAAGCGACTTCTTCCTTTACAAAAATTTTCTCCGAGGCGCAGTTAACGAGTTATTAACGAAAAAACAGCGACCAATAAGAATCGAGTACGGCTGACGCGAGGCAGCCCAGCCAACCAGCGCGCGAAGCCTAGTTCCGCTCATTGGCTCGGTCGCCTCGCGCCAGCCGAGCTCGCCTCTCGTTGGTCACTGTTTTTCGTTAATAACTCGTTAACTGCGCCTCGGAGAAAATTTTTGTAAAGGAAAAAGTTGCTTCGAACGACCCGAGGAACCCGCCACTTTCGGATTGCGAGACATTTTTGGGACACCCTGCACGTAGGCCGTGTTTTTAGGACTCGATAAATCTAGTGCTAGAGTTTCATCTTGTAAATAATTCGAGCTATTCGATATTGTTATCGTTTCGGTTTCTACGTTACGTTTGTACATGTTCCAGAAATTGGATTATAGCGCCTATAGTAGCAGTTTGTACAGCAACGACAGGGTGCCGCTGCAGTATTCCGGATACTATCCCATGCACGGTTATCACACGACACCCGCTTCGTTTAACATCGGAAACCTGAATTTTGGAGGTAACGTGTTCATTCCGTCTGTTTGCTATCTCGTCGACACTTTCGACGTTTCTACTTTCGAGCATTGTACACACACACGTGCGCGCGTCGTTTGATCTGTTTTGTTTTTTTTATTTTCATTAAATGCCGCGTGACATTGTGCTTAGTTGCATTCCAACTAACTGATAAATTTCAATTTTCTTTTGCAATGAAAAATTCGTTCTTCTCCGGCAAGTAAGTCTCCTTTGAAGTAATTTAACTTTGACGTAACATTGAATTTTCTCTTTGCTCGAGTCTTAAAAGCTGTGTTAATATCGTAGCTATTTTTAGAATAACCGTGATGTATTTATTACATTTATAACTTGTTTAATAACGAACCGCCTTCTTTGTTCAAAGATTCGACCAAGTCTACGCTCACGTTGGACGCAACAGCTCACAATGCCAGCGATCTTACCGCACGAGAAACCGCAAACGTCGAAGGTAACACGATTCGTACGTGTGATTTTATATCCTTACATTTTTCCCTCGAGTTCAGATTTTTCTTGAACGCAAGAAATACGTACATACATCCCTACGTAAAGTTTTCTAAGCGTCTGACAACAAATAAATCAAATTAAATTGATCTTGCGTGCCCGAAAACAACTCTTAACAGCGATTGGAAAGGAATTTAACCCTCTGCACCCCGAGACACCACTGAAATTGTTGCATCACGTTGCAAGATAATGTTTATATTGTAAAAGCTTAGATATAAAAAATTATAATATTATAAAATACACTTTTTGTCATGTAGAATAGAATAATAATAATAATAATAATAATAATAATTCCATAAGTCGGAAGAACGAATTTAGATTTACAGTGAAAATGGCTTCAAGCGCAAAGGGTTAATATGTGCACGATTACACTGTTATTATCGTTCCTTTATGGTTTCGGGATGTCATAGTTTGTCGCGCGAGGCAAACATCGTATTCGGGAAGCTATATAAAATAACGTTTCGAACGGACGCATTTTAGGGGCGGCGGCGAAACCCTGCAGACGCGGAAGACGCCAGAGCGGAAATGGAAACAGTATAGGTTCTGCGGATACGACAGAAGCCGGTCCTGATCGGATATTCATCTGGGACCTTGACGAAACCATAATCGTGTTTCACTCGTTGCTCACCGGGGTATTCGCAGCGAAGCATCAGAAAGACCGCAACCTTTTGGCCGCAGTCGCGTACAGGATGGAGGAAATGATATTTAATTTGGCCGATACTCATTTCTTCTTCAACGACGTGGAGGTGAATGGCGAAACGTTTGGAAAGCTTCAACGAATTTTTCATGATTTTATTTGATTAACGCCGTCGTCAGTTTGCCACCCTAGTCTTACGCATACCACGTTATTGTTTTCACTTTTACAAATATAAATCAATGAACATGATGCTGTAAAACCGTTCACAATGTAGACATTAACACTCGGATAATGGACCTTTTTCTTTTTACAAAAATGTGGTTAAGTCTGCACGAGATCGTTTATAATTTTAAATTAGCAATTTTGTTCAACATAGATTTTGAAGTACTTTTTCTAAACACGTCGGCGTTTCATTTAATTTCGTCAATTTTACATTAAAGAAACCGTCAGAGCAGGCCTCGTTATTTGAGTGTTAAAACAAAGAACAAGATAGACACAAAACTATTTAATCATTTCAAGGATTCTATATACAGTACCGGACAACGATATACCGTTGCTGGTTGCAATTCGGAAGAAATTTATCGTCTGTATATTTTTAGTAAATATAACTTTCTTTACGAATCTTGCAATTGTTGCTTTTAAGCAAGTTCGATCACTTTTTGTCCACTTATGATAAATATGGAACATTTTCGACTGGCGCCGAAAGGATTAATAGCGCGAATATTTAAAATAACCGTGGGAAGCTGCTGGAGCGAATAACAATATTTATAGTATATATACTGTATATTATTTGTATATTATTATTTTAAGAAAAAATTGAAAAAGATATAAAATGTATTCTTTCCTCCGGTTCTTTAATTTGCGGAACAAGGTCAAGATTAACAATATAATATTATTTCACAGGATTGCGATCAAGTACACATCGATGATGTGTCGTCGGACGATAACGGGCAGGACCTGTCTTCTTACAATTTCGCCACCGACGGTTTCCAATGCGCGTCAGCGAACAACGGCATATGTTTGGCGTCCGGTGTCAGGGGCGGCGTCGACTGGATGCGGAAACTAGCTTTCCGATATCGTAAAATAAAAGAGATCTACAGTAATTATCGAAATAACGTCGGCGGACTGTTGGGCGCAGCGAAGCAGGAACAATGGCTGCAATTACGATCGGAGATCGAAGTGCTGACCGACAATTGGTTAACGTCGGCCGTGAAATGTTTAAGCCATATCAATAAAAGAAATCACTGCATCAACATCTTAGTCACCACCACACAACTGGTACCTACTTTATCGAATGTTCTGCTTTTTGGAATCGGCGGGATATTTCCAATTGAGAATATTTATTCCGCCTCGAAAATCGGTAAGCTCCATGGAAATTCACAACGTATAAAATCCACATCTGTGCTCTATATAGAGAATCGAATTGGAGTTGCGATAGGAATGTTTTTATTTATTTAAATGTCAGACATTCGTACGATTTAATACTATCTTATGATCAGAAACGCATTTTTTAAGATTAGTACATTTAATTGCTAAGAATGTGAATTAAATAGTGACGACTTGTTGAATTAAAATACGTTACTACCAAGCCGCGAGCTTAAAATTAATATAAGAAAAATCATCGGAATAAATTAAAACAAATTATAAGTTATTTGTAACAATTCGGCTGAAAATCTGTTATCTGTTATCGATCGTAATATTATCGATCATATTATTCGATTAAATACCACTTCACAAGAAAATTCTTCAACGAATACTTACGTTCTAAATTGATTACAAATTAGTAAATGAACATCCAACCAATCAGGATTCCAATAATTCAATATAATATTAATTGTACAATAATATTAATTATATAATATAATATATAATATTAATTATACGGTCGAGTATCTTTCTTCAACTCGCGTTTAAATATTATTCTACATTATACAGGGTGTCCCAAAAATGTCTCGCAATCCAAAAATGTCGGATTCTTCAGGTCATTTGAAGCAACTTTTTCCTTTACAAAAATGTTCTCCGACGCATCGTTAACGAGTTATTAACGAAAAACAGTGACCAATGAGAGGCGAGCTCGGCTGGCGCGTGGCGACCGAGCCAATGAGCGGAACTAGGCTTCGCGCGCTGGTTGGCTGGGCCGCCTCGCGTCAGCCGTACTCGATTCTTATTGGTCACTGTCTTTCGTTAATAACTCGTTAACGGTGCCTCGGAGAAAATTTTTGTAAAGGAAAAAACTGTTTCAAATGATCCGAGGAACATTTTTGGGACACCCTGTATTTATCTTAATTGGGACAACACAAGCTTACGGAGTACCGTTAAAATTTCCACTGCCATTAAAAATTACTACGATATATTAAGGTGTTGCTTTGTTCTACGAACTAAATAAATTTAACTATATAAATGGTAATGTGAAATTTTAGGAAAAGAAAGCTGCTTCGCAAGGGTGAAAGCACGATTTGGCCGGAGATGCACGTACGTGGTAATAGGAGACGATTCCGACGAAGAAACGGCGGCGCGTGCCCACAACTTCCCATTTTGGAGAATAAACAGCCATTCGGACATACAATCTCTTCACATCGCCTTAGAACTGGGACTCCTTTAATCAGAACAATTTGAAACGAAACGATCTGTCGAAACGAGAAAAAAAAACAAAAAAAACACTTCGGTTATACGGGATGTTTCAATTAGGATATTATTCTTTACTCTGTCGAGATGAAAGAGCGCAAAGTAGAGAGGACGCTTCTATCGAAGATTTTAAACAATTGCTACTGTTTATCGCAATAGTAATATCAGAATCGAGGATATCAACCATTCTCCTCTGAAATTGCCATACATGGTTACCAGGTAAGGCCGTTGGTCGATCGTTTAAACATGTACGATCAAAGCAGGGTCCACAAGTGATATAATAACGAAAAAAAAAGAAAAAAACAAACAAAATGAAAGTAACAAAAGAAACGTATTCGAGAAGAGCAAAGATTTATACATAACACGAATATTTCTAATTCATGTACGCTTTCAACCGTAATATGTTCGATATGAACATTAATTCGTTGGGAATTATAGTATCTTTTATGTACTTAAAAACGCGCATTTCCTGCTTTACAAAATTATAGAAAAGTATAGAATCGGTCGAAAGAGATAAGATTTACTGGAGGAGAAGACGATGTGGCGCGCAATCACAGTGACTCGCATTAATATTCGGACACGATATTGTTAGAAAAGTTATTGCTCCTTCTTTTACTGTTTATATGATAGCATTATATAATATATATATATAATGCTATCATAAACAACAATAAGGAGCAATAATTTTTCTAATAATATCGTGTCCGAATATTAATGCGAGTCACTGTACATCGACTGTAATATTTGAGCAAACGAGAATGTTACAGAACCGTTTAAGGAGATTTTATATGAATATTGTGATACAATTTGGTCCAATAATTATTTCATTACAATGTAACCCAAATAAACCTGAAGAAATATAGCGAAACGTATACTTTCTGATCAGTAATTGGTGACGGTTATAGTTACGTTCTTTTTCGTTAACTCTTAAATACAAAAAATATGTATTCGACTGAAATATTGTGAATCCTTAAGAATTATTTGTTCGTGCGTATCGTGTATTAATAAGGATATTTAGGTACATATATTTTTTGAATCGTCCATATCACAGTGCAATTGGAAAATGTCTCCGAAATTTCTGCTGTTTTTGACTTATGTATATTAGCCAGAAGTGTAGCGATTTAAATAGAATGTGAATGTGTCATTCGAATTTGAAATTCTAATAAGAATCTTAGGGCCGCATAAATAATATTTTCAAAGTGTACGGGGGTAGGTTATTTAATTCAAATTTTAATTAATAAAACGGAAAGATAAGATTAGCAAATGATAACCAAAGTTAACGCGACGTTGAATAACTGTAAAATCAATTTTATATAAGTTTCTTTATAAATGTGTGGTGAATTTTCAGTTGAAAACGTTTTGTGGAAAACCATCGAACAAAGATATTTACACTTTGTACGTGTTATAGAGATCGGCAAATTTGTTTACTTTTTCTTTTTTAAAAAATATGAAGTTCTCCTTTCATAGCTTATATCTTTTTTAGATTTCTATATTTATTTATATATTAATTTTATATCGCTGAATAATATTACTTTCCTTGATCTTGATATCGAAATTTTGATATTTGTAGTTAATATACATATATTATAATACTTGGGAATTGATAATTTCATGAATAATTAAAAATTAACCGGAAAATTTGAGAAGCACAAAATTTGCACAAGCCCTTATCATTATTATTATTGTTACGAAGTTGACGTTAACTGTATAAAACATCTTTTTATAAAATTACATTTAAATATTACTCAACAATTCAGGCGAGAGAAATTACAGGAAAATAAAAGTCATATTGAATAATAGCATCAAAGTATTGA